AAGTTGTCATGTCGAAAACGAACTTTACAACTTTGATGCGGGGGTAGGGGTGGGGGGGGGGGGGGTTGGGGGGATTGGGTAAGGGCCGGGGAGGGGGTGAGGCTGGGAAGGGATGTGAAGGGTAAACAAAGGAGGAGGCCGCAATGCTTGATAAGAAATGTACTCATTATCTTGCCCATGTAATTGTAACCCCTCTGTACAGTATGCTCACAAAAAATAAAAATAAAAATTTATATTAAAAAAAGAAAATTTCAGCCTGTAAGGCATGCCTTTTCTAAAGGACTTTGAGACAAAATTCTGCCCAACACTCTCAGCTTCCCTCATTTGCATGGAGAGCCACTGGTTTGTGGTAAGGAAGATAGAACCACTGTGTGATGTGCTTGAATTCACAAGCAAAGCCCGGACAACCTAACCTCACTCTCAACCTGAGAAGTTTTCTGCTAGCAGGCTGTATTTTGGAGCTATACAGGCTTTCTCAGGTTTTTAATTATCTTTTCTTTACAGGCTGTTCTTACTTTACACATCAGAGGCCTGCAGCCTTCTTTATTTACTTGTTTAAATGCAAGTGTCATCAAGGAACTGATATAAGCATGAATTTACCTCCTTAGAAAGAAATGAGAAAAATGCTCTCCACCATCCTGGCTAGGAGCCTTTATGCTTCAGTTAATGATTTTAAAAGTATGTTGTTCATATCTGTAATCCACATTACTCAGGATGCTGAGATCTGAGGATCTCTGAACCCATTCCAAGGAGACAAATTTGAGGGACACTATCTCCAGTTAACCAGGAAAAAAAAGATGCCAGAAGTGAAGGAGTCAGTGGTTCAAGTGATGGAATGCTAGCCTTGAGTGAAAAACCTAAGCCAGAGTGAGAAACCCTGAGTTCAAGCCCCAGTCCAACACACACACTCTCACACACACACTCACACACACGATTTTTTTATCTGACTCTATGCTAGTGCATTCAAAAGGATGTGGCTAGCAGGGCCCCCATCACAATTCCTGTGCATACTTTTCATTTTGTGAGCCATATAGAACAGTAGTGGTTTCTAGTGGAGATTATAAACTTTTTTATTCTCTTCATCTGTCTTGTTCAGTGTATAGTTGGAAAAATAATGCCTGGGTTTAGGAATTTAGTTAAGACTTATGGCATGATAGGTACATAAGAAAATACCACAATGAAATCCCCTTACATTTACAATTAGTATATAGTCATAAATATGGTAAGGAAGAACTTCTAGCTAGCAAGGGAATGCTTAGATTGTTTTCTTAATCTCATTATAGTGCTCAGTAACAACAGCGAGATGGTCAGTCAGGACTTTGAGGTTCAAGTCTTTCTCTGTCCAGAATCTGGGTACAGATCAAATGACCTGGTTCCTGCATTCGAACACAATTTAACACTCTTCTTCTTTCCTTCCCCATCCTCCCCCTTGGGCTTAATTTGCACTTCCAATTTTCAGTGTCTATAATGTGCAAACGGGCTTTCCTCCCACTGAGAAACACCTGTAGAGGTGAGATTGTTCTCCTCCAGGAAAGATGATCTCTGGGGTTTTGCCTATGGCTGGAGGGCCTGTGAGGTAGGTGTGAAAAAACCTCTTCCTTCTCCTCTGCAGTGGGCTGGGGTGCCATAAGCAGCTCTTCTGCTAATTTTGGAAGGAGAGGGAGACACCCAGTCACTTTAAGAGGAAAAGAGTATTAAGGCATGAGCCCATGTTCAGAACCTGCTCCCTTCTTCTTCTTCTTCTTTTCTTATATAACCCTCTTGGTCATCATTGTTCTTGGCCAGATAGTGGTTCTTCTTATCCAGGATGTTAGAAGACATATGGAGAAGGAAGGAGGGAAAAGTCCCGACAGGGAGTGGTCTCTGAATGTATAACCAGTTTTGGGGGAGGTAACCCTGGGTTAAGATTTTTGAGGAACAAACAAGAAAAGGAGGGGGAAAAGAAGAAGAGGAAAAGGAGGGGGGGGAAAAGGTAGGGGAGCCAGCAGCATACCAGTTTAAGCAGGAGACAAGGAGTTTACAGAGCCTATCACTAAGTAATTGGTGGAGGAAGACTAAGTCATGCTCTTGGTGTCTTCCTTTCTTAGGGGGAATTACACTACATCTAAATTAAAGGTAACTAGATCTCCATAGTTTACAACTGCACCTCTGAGATTTCTGATGGTTTCCATGCAGTTATCAAAGAAAAGCATGATCTTCAGAGGAACTTTTTATTGTGGCCCGAGAAATTACAGAGCTCATGTCTACTTATTAAAATTCATCATCTTCGTTCGTGGCTGTATTTTCAAGCCACAGTGACTTCATGGGCCAAGTGAAAAATTTTGTATCCTTTTAGAAAACTGAGGTTAGCACAACCAAACCCGCAGAAAATTATCTTTGACTCGTAGATGTTATTTCTACATTACTCTTTCCCTAAGAAAATAATGAGACTTGAGTTTGACAGTTTAGAGTAAGAGCCAACACCTGCCTGTTGCTTTCATGGTCCCAAGAACTGTTTTAGGTGTTTTATGTGTATGAGTTCATTTAATCCCCAGAAAAGCTCTATGAGATGAGTTGGTACTAAACTCCTACTTAACAGACTGGGAAATTGAAGATGGGTGAGATTAAGTAATGTGTCAGGGCTCAAAATGGACTGTGGATCTAGCCAGCTAACTTAGAGCTCACTTAGGAAGCAGCATCTGTCCCAGCCTCCACTTCTCCCCAAAGGTCAGTGGGATCAGCTAGCTTGGGCTTGTGCCTGTGATACTGGGCAGAATTCAGATCACGGTGTAGTGGAGGTACTAGGTCTACCTGGGCACTGAGCATGCATGAGGAAACTTAGTTTCTATTAAGTATAAGTTGTACCCGAGAGTAAGGTATTATTATTTTCTAGATGGGGAAACTAGGGTGCAGAATGAGGCAGAACACAGCTAAGAAGAGACAGAACAGCAAAAAGGGTCCATGTCTGTTTTTCAGCAGTTGGTTATAACAAATCTGATATATTTGCTTCTGTAATGCAAACAGAACTCACCACCTTTAGGGGTGGGATGAGGTCATGTGGGATGGGGCTTGTGTGTTCATTTGAATCAAGTGATGCAGAAGATCAGTTGCAGCTCTCCTCCATCCGGGTTCTTTCTAGAAATGAAGCAGGTGGTGCTTCCAGCGAAGGCCCTAAAAGGGATTTTTCTCTGAAGTATCCAACCCATTCTGCCATCTTGGCATTCTGCCATGGATGTGTTCCTGAAATAAAAAGGCTTAGCTTTGTTTTTTGTAGCTTGTAATACAACTTGTTTGTAATTTTCTCAATATTTCAAGATTGTATTTGTTCATTGCATATCTAGTGGGTATTGTAATAAGTTTAAATGTAGTATTAGAACGTATCAAAAATGCATATTATCAAAGAGAGGAATAAGGTCAATCTGTGTGACCAAATGGCTGCTGAAGGCATTTTAAGTTACTCAGTGTACCCTCTCCGTTCTTAGAGATCTGAATCTCCTTTCCTCTTCCCCCTGTGTTTTGGCATGACATTGACCTCCTGCTCAAGCCTAGCAGAATGTTTGTCCTTTTTAATACACAAACCTGTCAGGATATGCCTTTCCTAACTCAATCTACCCACAGTATTTCCCTTACCCTGTGAAATCACTCTTTACTTTCAAAGCTTGGTTCAAGTTTGGTACCACTGTAAAGCTTTTCTCACCGGGCTCACCCCAACCCATAATACTAACTACTGTCTTTTCTTGTGTCCTCACTATATCCTGAAGATAACTCTAACACAGCCCCAATAATACCTCAGAGATCACGAAGTAGTCACCAGGTATTACTGATTTTCACTGAATACTTGGCATGTACTAGGCATTATGAGACTAAAAACTCTATTTCCCAGATGTCATATGATTCTTAACAACTACCCCTTTGGGACTGCTCTCTGGGCAATATACCATGTTTCTTTCATGATAAGAGAAACAGCTCAACATGATCAAATGACTTCTTCCAGTTCAATGCCATGTTTCTGTTTATGAAAGTGTGAATTTCTGAGAGTAAGACTGCCTAACTTGTACCAGAGCTCAACTGGGTGTGGCAACAGCCAGGCCTGGTTTCCATTCATGTCTGTGGACTTTAACAGAGGCTGGACTAAGTAATGAGATGCTCTTACTAGTAGAGAAAAGCATACAAACTCTGACCCCATAACTAGACAGAAAGTACAGGGTCCATTATTCTTGTCATTTTTAGCATAGTATGCCAGGAAGCAATCAATATTAATTGAGTATGAATGAATGAATGACAAATGGAACCACACTTTTTTTTTTTTGTCAGTCATGGGCCTGAACTCTGGGTCTGGGCACTATCCCTGAGCTCTTCAGTTCAAAGCTAGCACTACCACCTGAGCCACAGCGCCACTTCCGGCTTTTTCTGCTTATGTGGTGCTGAGGAATCAAATCCGGGGCTTCATGTATGCAAGGCAAGCACTGAGTCACCTTCCCAGCTCCCCCCCTCTCTCTCTATTTAGATGAGGTCTCTGTATTAAGCCTATGTTGACTTCAAACCTGTCATCCTCCTGCTTCAAATTCTTGGGTAGCTAAGATTATGAATGTGTACCTGTATATCCAGCTCTTATTATTCTTATGTGTATTCTGTATTCAGAACATGGAGAAAACATGGATGCTCTTAATAGTAGAAACCTAAAGGGGGAGGTTGGGCTCATGTCAGTTCAGTTTAGAGAGCCAGTGTGGGGCTGGAGGCCACCTATGCTAAGAAAATTATGGGCAAAGGCTGATGCCCTGAAGGCTGATGCCTTCTGTGACATCCTGTGTGCTGTCTATGCTGCCAAACTGGGCAAAGGCTTCCCTCATTCAGCCACTATCAGGAAAACTGTAACGTGGCTCTTGATAGTTACCCTTCCGTATGCCTCTGCCATTTCTCATGGACCTGCAGTCTCACTTTGATCATTTTACTTATGTATATTGTGAGGAAAGGTAGGTTTTGTAGTGCTTGAGCTCACCCAACTGGGGTTTCCTTTGCAGGTTAACATGTTTGTTGAAGGGTTCCATGACGCTATCCTTCTCTACGTCCTGGCTTTACATGAAGTACTCAGAGCTGGTTACAGCAAGAAGGATGGAGGGAAAATTATCCAGCAGACTTGGAACCGGACATTTGAAGGTAGGGATTTTTCTACACAGTGGCCGCTGGGGTCGACTGAACTGCTGTTTCTGTGGCTCTCTGTTGCCAGTGGGAATGCTTCTAATGTCTTCCCTCCTCTTGCCCCCCAGTTTTAAAGTATGGATGGTAACTCTTGGGCATCCACCCAAAGCATTACAAGTCAGGATATGGTAAAGATACTTGTACATCCATGTTCATTGCTACACTATTCACAATAGTCAAATTATGGCAATAGCTCAATTACCCCTCAACAAATGAGTGGACCACACACACACACACACACACACACACACACACACACACACACACACACTGGAATTTTATTCATCCATTAGAAAGGATAATATTATGTCATTTTCAGGGAGATGGACAGGCCTAGAACAAACCATGCTTAGTGAGGTGAGCACAGTTTAGAGAGATAAATGGCACATGTTTTCTCCATATGTCGAAACCAGATCTAAAATATAATTGGACATGATAATATATGCAAGATTATAAGCATTCACAAACAAACAGACTGAAAGGAAGATACCCTTAGGGAAAGAATCCAAAGGGGTAACTCCTCTGAATATTAAAATACACTTTATTGAAATAAACTCCAGGAAATGGAAACATATTTTGTTGTTGTTGTTATTGTTGGTGGTGGTGATTGGGAGTATTTCATTTTGCTTTGGAATTTTTTCTTTTAAGGGACACAAATGTGGGGTGAAGGGAGATGAAGAAAGGGAGGGAAGAAGGGTGAACTAAGACAATCATGCTATTCAGTATACACTATGTGATAAATGACCTATATAACTCGTGGGCAGGAGGAGACGAGGAAAGCAAAGGAAGGGGTGACATTGTCCAAAAAAGAAACATATTCATTACCTGACTTTTGAAATGGTAACCCCTCTGTACATCACTTGAATAATAACAGTAAAATTATATTTAAAAAGTAAAATTATTTATATTTTATGTTTATATTGAATATTTATGATTAAAAAGTAACGTTATACTTAATATATTGGGATCTGGAATTTTACCTTGTTAAATGGTTTGAATAACGATGTGGTTTTAATGCTTTATTATCTGTTGTTCTTCATTAAAATAAGCCTTTTTAGTGGTTAAAAATTACACTTAAAAGGCTCATTCATCACATAATAATCAGTATGTTTAAAAGTTCTGCCATCAGATTTTAAAAAAATATTAGTCTCAGATATACATTCTTCTGTTCAGACTATGTTGATTTTTTTAAAACTCAGAAGACATCTGAAGTAGAGGTTAAACCTAGTAGCTCAAGAAGGTTAGCAGGTCTAGTTGGGCCCTTTGCTTTTGTTTGAATTTTATTTGTCCATTCTATCTCCCTATCATCTATCTATGTTTTCTTTTTGAGACAGGATATCAGTATGTAGGAGTGGGACTGCTGGTTTAGACTGCTGACCTAGAACTCACAATCCTGCTTCAGTCTCCTGGGTTCTGTGATTACAGGAGTTTGCCATTTTCCCCAGCACTCTGATTTGATTTGAAATGGTGAATATAGTTGTTTGAGGAACAGAGAAGGATTAGAACAACAACAAAAGGCCTATCATCTCATCCCACACAAGCAAGAATGAGACCATTTCTTGGCTAGAAAATTTAAATAGTTTAAAAATACATAACATGAAAAGAGAAAGAGTACCTTCCTTCCTAGTCTCCTTTTCCCTAATAGAATCACTATTAACAATTTTCTCTGTGATTTCAACTAAAAATAACCTATGCTTTCTGCCAGTACATATGCAGAGTCCCTCCCCTCCCCCACCCTTTTTGGTCTTGAGGCTAGTATTTTGGGTCTTGTACATGCTAGGCAAGTGAGCTCTATTACTAAGTTATATCCCCAGCCCTTGGCCTTTTGAACAAGATGTCACTATGTAAGCCAGAATGGTGTTGAAGTCCCCATCCTCTTGCCTATGTCTCCTGGGTGCTGGGATTATAGATATGCACTACCATACCTGGCTACAAATGCATTTTTTGGTCAGTTGGGTCTTGAACTCTGGGCCTGGGCACTGTCCCAGAGCTCTTCAGATCAAGGCTAGCACTCTACCACTTGAGCCACAGTGCCACTTCCAGTTTTCTCATGGTTAATTGGATACAAGAGTCGCATGAATGTTCCTGCCCAGGCTGGCTTTGAATCATAACCCTCAGATCTCAGCCTCCTGTGTAGCTAGAATTTCAGGCGTGAGCCACCAGTGCCCAGCACAAATGTATTTTTATATGGTCTCTAAAGCTTATACATAGAAGAGTCATACTATGAATATCATGTTTCATTTTAGGGTTTTTTTGGTATGGTGAATAAAAGATTTTTCTGTATGAATACTCATAGACCTAACTCATTTTTAAATGAATTAAATATTATGCTACCTTATGGTTGTATAGGAAATTCTTTAATCTTTGATTACAAAATACTTCAATTTACAGTTTTTGCTCTTACACAGTATTCAGTCACAGTATTTTGCACATCCTGAAAAGGTTTTATGAGTATTTCCAACAGGAACATTCCTAGTGGTAAGATTTTCTGGCCCCAAAGTAGATTGGTATGTTTTAAAGCAAACCAGATATTTCCAGTTATCTTCTAGAAAGGTATGCTAGTCTATGTTTTTGCCAAAAATGTATATCAGAATTCTTGTTTCGTCTCACCCTACCAACACTCAGAATGTACATGGGACTTGATATGGGAAGAATTCAATTCCTTGCAGATAACAACTTTCTATACATTCATGCATTGTTCAGCAAATATTTATAAAGTGTCTATCCTATGCCAGGCATGGATCAAGTAGCTGAGGCTCCAGAAGTTCCCTGTGATCAGCATAACTTGCATGCAAAGGGGGAGAACAGCTCACAAATACATATTTACCATAGTTACAGCCTATCAGGCTATTATATGGAGCAGAGGAGGGAGATAGAAAGTGTTGGTGGAAGGGAGTGGGGCTAGTGATGTAAGAGTGAGCAGGGAAAGTCTCTCTGAGAGTGGTAGTTGAGTATAGATCTGAATGGGGTGGGGAGAACTAGGGAGACATTTAGGAAACAGCCCTGAGAGAGCAGCTCACACAGAACCTGAGCCACGTGTGGCAAGAGAGCGCTCCCCTGAGGAGCTGGGACATCTGTGTGGCTGATGCCTAAGTCGGAAGAGTAGCATGAAGGGAGCCCATGCCAGAGAGGCAATGGTAGGGAACCAGATCCTGTGGGCCTGGAAGGGTTACTGAGGAATTAGGCTCCACTTGAATGAGATGGATAGAAAACCACTAGGGGCGTTCTGAGGGACACCATCTGCCGAATGACTGTCCTAAGGAAGACAAACTGCCCTGCACTGATGACCTCCATTTGAGAACTATTAATGCAGAATGCAGATGGTAGCATCAAAGATCAGGAGCCTTATTCCAGCCACTAACTCATAACCTCAGCCCTCTCAGTTTCTTTTTCACCTTTTCTATAAAGAGGCTGAACTAGTTGGTGACCCTCTCAGTTCTGCATTGATTGAAGTCTTCCTGGGATGGGGGTGGGTGGGTGGTAGTCTTGTATTTATTTTAATCACACTGGTGAAAATCTTCAATGACAAGAACAAGTATGCCCAGTTTTGATTTGGGGTACGTTTTTTTTTTTTTTTGGAAAATCTCATCATACTCTTTGCTGCCTCAGGTTGCTTTCTGTTACTAGAAAGGGCAGGACATCAAGGGGAATGTAGCTCTAGGTAGGGTCACCTGGGTTGGAGCTGCTGGTAGATTTCATTTTTCCTTGGTGGTTTCAATGGGTGCCATGTCTTCCTCCCAACAAGAAAGCCATCTCCTTTGACTTTAGACAGAGTAGGATGTGGATGAGTTACCTCTAGGATGCTCTTGATTTACTTTAGGTCTGACTGCTTCTGCTGAGGAAGTAGAACCAAATGGGGTAGCTCAGGGGGCATATTAGGACAAAGTCAAAACTTCCCAGAAGTTGTGCACAATGCACTGAGAACCTGGTATGTGGGGACACAACCTTGGTCGGCCACATCCCATTCTTAGCTATTACTCATTACATGGTGTGGTCATTTGTTCTTGGTCTTCTGACAGAGGGACAGAAGCCAGAGTTGGGGGGAGGAGGTGCTGGAGGGCAACATGGTGGGAGGTTGTTAACGGAAGGGCAGGTGCCCACAAGGATTGGCATGTAGTTTTGCTTAGAGTCAAGGCGCAGACTATTCTCATTGGCCATCTTGATGTTTCCATGCTGGGGCCAAGTCTACACAGTTGATTTGAAGTGAGTCCTGAAACACTCAGCTGTATAGCTCAGTCCATAGTTAAAAATCTCATTTGTTCAAATGTAAAGACAATTGAAGCCAAGTTTTGGGGTTGAGTGCTTTGTAAGGCCCATTTTATGTGTTAAGCCATGATCCATTTAAGGGTAGCCCCAAAAAGAGCTTGAAGGTATGTGCCTGAAGAAAAACTCTAAGCTTCCTAAAATTAAAAACAATTTTTAATTTAAGTGGTCACTGTAAGTGGCCATTAAGTTGTCAAGGGAAAAATACTCGGGATGTTATTTGACAAATTTGGATTTTTATTGCCATGAACCCTGTGATCAACTCTCAAGACTTAGAATAAATGGCCTCCTCGGAAGAAGCTGAGTTTCCTGTGCATGAGAGGTCAGAGGGACGATGCAAACAGTACTAAGGCACAAGCCTTGATTTCCACTACAGTCAAATAAAAAATGGGAGTGGAAGGTCTCATTACTTAGGGACAGGAAAATTTTGCTCCCAACCTGACAATCTCACCTTCTGCCAGATACTCTCAGATGAAGTTTCACTTTGCTAATTGGAAAATGAATATTCTCACCCTATTTCTTGGCAGAATGGCAATAACTTCAAGGTGTAATGAGGCCTTGGATTACTAGGATTGTCTTGTCTTTTAAAATACACTGCAAAACACCCAGCAGGATACAACATCACAAATCCCTCTGAATAGAAATACAAGTGGTTTGGGGTCACCAGTATGTTTGGGGATAAATAAATACATGTTTGTATGAATCAAAAATGTACTTAATAGTTAGAAGTTTCACAGACTATCAAGGATGGACAAGATGGTGATGGGGTTTTATATCCTTTGTGACTAGTCTATATTAAGAAAACAAAAAATGAAGGTGAGTGGTAGCCCCATTCTGTTTCCAAATAGAAAACCCAAGTCTGGAAAAATCAGTGGCCCTTCAAACCACAACCCAAAGGACAGTAAACCCAAATACCTATCCTTTCCAAACCAAACTCGAGGATGGAACTTTCCCTTGGGATGCTTCTCCTCAGACTGAGAGACTCAGGACTTCTGGAGAGAATCAGATCAATAGAAGCCACAATTAAATCTTACTCCAAACTCTCCTTCAAAGAAATTGAATAGCTTTAGTTAATTAGAAAATGACTGATGTATTCATTCATCTACTTAGTGAATGAAACTGAAAACACTAACATATTTAAGATCAGTCAGTGGATACATGGTTTCTTTTGTTGATTAGTTGCTCTAAGCCTCCATTGCTGGCCAAAGCCAGTGGATCTCAAGGCTTACCATGGTCTGTCCACTCTGTTCCTACTGCTCCCTTTTATGCACCTGAGCCTTCTCTCCAAAGAACCTCACAGTTTCTCTGATTCTTTTTGGCTCTGTTCTGCTATAAATAAAACTAAGCCAGTCTGCTTACACTTTTGATTGCTGCTTATCTGAATCATAGATTTCCTCCAATGTACCTAACAGATCTTGGCTTTTTTTACTCAGTTCCCCCTTGATTACTCAAAAATAAAGAGAGACTGAGTATCCCCAAGTCCCTAACACCAAACATCCAAAACATGAAATATTCCAAAATCTGACACATTTTTGTTGTTGTTGTTTGTGGGGTCTGAACTCTGGGCCTGGGCGCTGTCCCTCAGCTCTTCAGCTCAAGGCTAGCGCTCTACCACTTGAGCCACAGTGCCACTTCCAGCTTTTTCTACTTATGTGGTGCTGAGGAATCAAACCCCAGGGCCTTCTACATTCAAGGCAAGCGCTCTAACTACCGAGCCACCTTCCCAGCCCCAATCTGAGACTTTTTGAATGCTGTAATCACATAAGTAGAAAATTCTTCCCCATGAAAGCTTGTTTCATGCCAGGAATTGTTTAAAATTATCTTCCAGCTTTGTATACATGCATGGTATATGAATACATAAATGAATTTTGGGTTTTGACTTGGATCCCTCCCCTCTGATACTTCATCATACATATGTAAATATTCCAAATTCTGAAAAAATCTGAAATCCAAATCATTTCTGGTTCTAATATTTTGGATCAAGGTTGCTCAATATCTTTTAGTAATAATAATCATACTAGTAACAGTAGTAGCAATAATAATAATAATATAGAAAAGGAGGAAAGCAACTAACTTACTGGCTTTATCTCATGTCATTATCTCTCTAGCTTCCCAGTGGAGGAGTAGCATCCCTGTTTTACTGTTGTTCAAGATGAGACTTAGAGGACTAAGTTTACTCCCCAAAACTGTAGAGGTAGAAAATGTCAAACCGGGATTCAGTTCAAGCTGTCAGAATCCACTGTAAACTAGCTAAAATCCCAAGTTTGGGCTCCTCTTCTCCTAAGCAGAGAATGTGTCCAATTTATCTTATTCTCCAGCACTAATTCACCACCCAGTAACCTTCCAAATAACACGAGTAGGCAGCACATGCACACATTTGAGATCAAGTCACATCAGTCTTCTTCAGCTATTGCCTTGGTGACGCATGAAGTGCTTAAGTACTCTCCTGTGTATAAAAGCAGTCATATGGTCGGGCACTGGTGGCTCACACCTATAATCCTAGCTACTCAGGAGCCTGAGATCTAAGGATTGTGGTTTGAAGCCAACCTTAGCAGAAGAGTCCCTGTGAGGCTCATTTCCAATTAACCACTCAAAAACCAGAAGTGAAAAAAAAACCAGGAGTGATGCTGTAACTCAGGTGGTAGAGCACTAGCCTTGATCACAAAGAGGCTCAGGCACAGAGCCCAGGCCCTGAGTTCAAGCCCCACAACTGACAAAAAAAAAGCAGTCATATGAAGTGCACTCAATGAATACTGAGGCTGCACTGATTGCACTGATTTTTCTTGTGTAATATTACCCCACTGACAAAAGCACCTCCACTTTGCCCTGCCTACTTTTCATAAAAATTATTTCAGATATTAGGACTAAGAATCGCACTTTCAGAAATCTCCTTAATCTTAAAAAAATAAAAAAGAATATATTACCAAAGAAGGTCTTTTATTCATCTTTCTTTTCATTTTTTAAATGGAGCAATGTGAAGAATTTAGGAATGCAGACACAGATGAAATTACAATGGCTTTCCAGATGCCAACAAAAATGCTCAAGGTCTGATGCTATTCCCTGAGGCATGAGTTTATTTGAAAAAAAAAAAAGTCTTGTCAATTCATGTCCTTGTTTTGCTTGGCAGACAGAGGCATCTTAAGTGAGTAACTTGGAGTTTTTTTTATCTCTTGTCCTGTAGGTATTGCTGGGCAAGTGTCTATTGATGCCAATGGAGACAGATATGGAGACTTTTCTGTGATTGCCATGACTGACACGGAAGCAGGGACCCAGGAGGTAAGCCAATGAGAATTCTGCCCCAGTCACTTCTGTGAGTCAGGATGCATTTGCTCAAGTGTCCAAAGACTGTCCCCAAAGTAGTTACCAGATAAGGCTGAGTTTGGAAACCTGGGAGTTTACAAGTAGGGAGAACTCACTGCTGCCTTGAGGATGTTGGGAAGATATCAGGAAATAGCTCACATGGATGCTCGGTGCAGAAATCCTATCTTACAAGTGGCCACGCATCATTCCTCCACCCAACAGAGCAGGGCACTGTATGAAAAGAAAAGCAAAACTGTATTTCCCTCTTAAATTCTTGGGACATCTTTTTTTGTTGGTTGGTTACAGACTCTACATGTGTTACTATTTCAAAACAGGGCATAGGCCAGGGATATGGTTCACATTGGTAATCCCTTGTAAAGCTAAAATAGGAGGATTGCAAGTCTGAGGTCAGCCTGGGCTACCTTGGAAGACCCTGTCTCTGAACAACAAAACAAAAAATGAAGTGAACATGATGTAGTTACAAGATATCATCATACATATAACAAAGATAATACCATAGATGCAAAGAAGAGTCTCTCTTGTTTACTGAGGGTATGAGCACTCTGTCTCAGTCATATCTGTCTTGCTAGTGTCACCTGACCTGATACAATGAAACCTAGAAAGGTTCTGTAGAAACTCTAAATGTGTATGTATTAAGCAAATATGCTAGGTTTCTGCTGAAATTGATTTCAACAGATAAGACCACTACTTCTATGTTTCTTGATGTCTTCCACCCAGTCATTGCTTTGGTATGAAACTTACTGTTTTTCTCTTTTCAGTGCTCTGTGTCTTATCCATAGTCCAATTTCTCCATTTGGAGAAGGAAGAAAGTTTTAATACACTGTAGCCCATCCTGAGGTTATAGGTGTGAAAAGCACTTAGTGTGTGTTCAGTATATGTAGCAATTGTCGTACTTGGGTGAGGACCTAGAATTCTTTTTAATATGATCCAACACAGCCTGTGAGAGGCTGCTGGGCCTTGGTCTAGAGAGAAATGGGAGACATCATAGCGATCCAGGAGCCAGATACTTGTGCCTAGGCAAAAGAGAAATCCTAAGACCCAGAGTAGGAAGGAGCTCCCAGATCCAGGCCCAGGTATCTGATTCAACAGTCATCTTAACCAAAAACTGAGGTTTGGAACTACACCAGGAAAGAATAATGATATTCTAGGGGCCTGGGAACCGATTAAAGCACAATTTAACCTGATAATGGAGGAGCAAAAAGGGTGAAATCATCAGAAGAGAATGTAACCCCGAAAGGAATAGCCTCTCTACCAGAAGAGGGCCAAACAGGAAGTTCCTAAAATATAATCTCTGGTGCCTTAATTGTGTGTGTGTGTGTGTGTGTGTGTGATCACATGCATGTGTGTGTGTGAGAGAGAGAGAATGTGTATGTGTGCCAGTCCTGGGGTTTAAACTCAAGGCCTGGGTGCTGTCCCTGAGCTTTTTTTTTTTTTTTTGCTCAAGGCTGGCACTCTACCATCTGCACCACAGCTCCACTTCCAGCTTCTTGATAGTTAATTGGAGATAAGAGTCTCATGGAGCCAGGAGCCCATGGCTCACACCTGTAATCCCAACTACTCATGAGGCTGAGACCTGACCAGCATGGTTTGAAGCTAGCCTGGGCAGAAAAGTTCCTTTGAAACAATTAAACTGGAATGGTGCTGTTGGCTCAAAGTGGTAGACGTGTTAGCCTTGAATAAAAAAGCTCAGGGACAGCCCCCAGGCCCTGATTTCAAGCCCCATGACCAACTCCCTCAACCTACCTCCTAAAAAGGACTTTTTTGCTCAGGCAGGCTTCAAAGTGCAATCCTCAAATCCCAACCTACTGAGTAATGAGGATGACAGGTGTGAGCCACTAGCGCCCAGCTCTAGTGCCTTAATTCTGTGTCATATTAAATGAGCAAGGAGAGGCCATGTAACTGTCAGGTGCTTAACCTGGGTCTTCAGTGGCTCAGACTTCCTGCGTGCGGCTGTGAGGGTGAAGTGGACATTTCTGTTAGCTGATCATGTGGTTGCTCTCTGGCGATGACTGGTGTGGAGTGGGAGGCCCTATCTGATGAGCCAGAATAAAAGCCATGAATGTCAACATCATTTTCATAGGGAAATAAGAAATCTTTCCTTCCTACTAAGAAGTCATGACTAAGGAATACCCAGGGTTCACTGGTGGGGCTGGACCTGCAGTGTGGCCACGCCCCTGGTTGTACCCCCTTCTCCACATCCATATCCTTCTGAGCCTAAAGGATTGATTTCCTTGTCAGGAACACCATACTGCAGTCAGTCACAGTGCACAGGGAAGCCTGGCGCCCCCCCCCCAACACCCACTCTTCAGAAGCGCTTGCCATTGCCTGGGGGAGCTGACACAATGAATAGCAGCCCCAGTCCCTCAGAGGCAGCTTAGAGATCTGGCCATGCATTTTAGGAGGCAGTGGTACAAGGCTGTGAGCTCTGTGCCTCCTTTAGAAGCTGATTAACTTTGGCATTCCTTTAGTAAGTTCGGTTTTTGACTTTCCTGTAGGTTATTGGCGATTATTTTGGAAAAGAAGGTCGTTTTGAGATGCGGCCGAATGTGAAATATCCATGGGGCCCTTTGAAGCTGCGAATAGACGAAAGCAGAGTCGTGGAGCATACCAGCAGCAATCCCTGCAAATCATGTAAGTTCAGAGACATAATTTGCTGGGGGTCAGTCTCAGAGCCATGGGAGTCTAGTGCCCAGCTGTGCTCCAAGAGTCACACTTTCCAAGTTCCCATTTCTTTTTCTGATGTGGTGAAACACACGGGAACAAACTGCCCCTTAGCAGAAGCTTCCAGGTCTTTATTACCGTCTATTACTCTCTTCCTAAATGGTAGGAGGTTCTCTCTAGAATGTTTTTTCTTGTCATCTCTTCATTATTTGAGGTTTCTACTGTTAGAGAAAAAGAAGCTACAAGGGCTGGGAAAGTGGCTCAGTGGTAGAGTGCTTGCCTTGCATGCATGAGGCCCTGGGTTTGATTCCTCAATACACATAAACAGAAAAAGCCAGAAGTGGTGCTGTGCCTCAAGTTCAAACTCCCATGACTGACAAAAAAAGAAAGAAAGAGAAATAAAAAGAGAAAAAGAAGCTATCAGTTACTAAACATTATTCACTATTCATCTCATGTAGCAAGACTCCTGGTTTTCTAAATTTATAGTAATCTCCCAAATCCTCAAATGGATAATGCCCCTCCCAAATGGATAACGCCCCTCTCCCACTTTGGCTTTGTTTATGCTAGGGTCTAGAGTAGATAAGTTCTCCTCTTCCTTCTCCTTTTTCTGCTCCTCCTCCTCTATCTCCTCTTCCTCCTTCTCCTACTCCCCCTTTAACTCTTTTTCCTCCTCCTCATTGTCATGCTCCTCTTTCTTTTCCTCTTCTTTTGTTTTGAGATAGTGTCTTGCTATACAGCACAGGCTGCCCTTGAACTTTCTAGCTATTGCTACTTCAGCCTATCAAATGTTTGGATCACAAGCATATGCTACCATACTCTTAAACACCTGAAACTTCACCAACTGGAAAATAAGTTTAAATGTATTTATGAATAGCTTTTGTTTCTAAGTAGAAAAACAAGTATATATTCTTTTTTGTTGTTTTTGTTTCTTTTTTAGTTTTTTTCTTACTTTCCTTATTTTTTATTATTAATAAGTTTTTTTATTGTGAAAAATACCATACAGAAGGGTAACAATGACATGAGCCAAGGTAATGAGTACATTTCTTACCAAGCATTGTTGCTTCCTCCTTTGTTTCCCCTTCCCATCCCTGCCTTCCATCTCCCCCCACCCCCCGCAAGTATATATTCTTATAAATTGTTAGATTATTTTCTTAGAGAAAGCCTTTTATAAATGGGTAAGGAAAGACAAAGTATGGATTTATCTCTTGGCTAGCTGATCATTTTAGGCAAATATAGAAATGGTCTTTACATGTTGCTTGTTACATTTTAAATTATAAGCTACTTATATTATGAAAAGTATTAGAGTGTATTAAGAACACAAATTTTTGAGTTATTTGGCCTGGATTTGAAATCCCTCTGTTGTCACTTGCCATTTTGTGACCCTAGGGGAGTTCTTTCAGTTGTTTAAGCTCCATTGTCCTTATGTATAAAACAAAAAAATGTATTCAATTCTTCAATCTTCTGTATTAAGGAGTAAATGAGAGAATATATATAGAAGACCATGTACTCAATTATTAGTATGCAAGCTAGCTATTTGTCCTTTTACCATAACTGGGACACTACTGAACATAATCACTTCAACTTGTCATTCAGGTTTTACACAAAGCTATAAAGGAAATTTTGACATTAGCTATGGCTTCGGTGAGAGAACATCTAAAAACAGAACATTGACCCAGTGAATTTTTCCACCAAATCTTCTCGCACTTTGAAGTGTTACCATCCATCTGTATAAATGATCATTTCTAGGCCAATGCCTTGGTCCATTTAGCTACCTTCTTCAAATCCATCTTGAACATGTTTCTAGTTCCATTCTGCTCATTTTTTTTACTTTAATCTTGTGTGTGTGTGTGTGTGTGTGTGTGTGTGTGTGTGTGTGTGTGTACACTGGGACCTGAACTGAGGGCTTCTTGCATTCTCATTTGGCTTTCTTGCTCAAGGCCGATGCTCTACCATTTGAGCCACACCTTCTTTCCTGCTCACTTTCTTTTTTTCTTTTTGGTTCCGTCGTGGGCCTCAACTCTGGGCCTGGGCGCTGTCCCTCAGCTCTTCAGCTCAAGGCTAGCACTCTACCACTTGAGCCACAACGCCACTTCCTGCTTTTTTTTTTCTTTTTGCTTATGTGGTGCTGAGCAGTCGAACCCAGGGCCTCATGTATGCAAGGCAAGCGTTCTACCACTGAGCCACCTTCCCACCCCCTGCTCACTTTCTTATAGTGGTGGTTTAACTAGTACCTTCTCCAAAGCATTTCTTAAAAGTTGCACTAGGCAAACAACAATAATAATAATAGTAATAATAATAGAAGTAAAAAATCAATGAATAATCCAGGATCTTCTAGAAAATAGTTCTTGAAAAGGAAGGAAAATTTGCTTTGGAGATTGACACTTTCCCAGTGAATGCAACTTGAGGCAATTCTGTTTATTTCTCTATGTGAACGCTGATGCTCTGTTTCCTTTTCAAGCAGGTGGCCTAGAAGAATCAGCAGTGACAGGGATTGTTGTGGGGGCCTTACTAGGGGCTGGTTTGCTAATGGCCTTCTACTTTTTCAGGTATGAATCATTGACAAATCCACTCTCTTTTATTGCTTCTGTCCTTTGTCTTTGCACAATGCTTCAAGTTGCTTGACCACATCTTTTTATTAATGAAGCATGGTGGTCAGCAGACCTAAGCAATTCTTTTGGTGTGATCTCAGATTTGGTGGTCAGTGGGTTAACACAGTGAGTGGGTACTTGGCTCATGAGTTTCTTTTGTACTCCTTGCCACCATCCCCTGTGGGCTAGAGAACTGCTACAGTCCTTTGATCACAGATTCTGACAAGAATTCTAACCACCCATTCAATGCATAAGAGGGAATACAGACAAAGGGTAAAAGGCATTTCCCCATCTTCAGACCCCTAGTTCAGACCCAGGTGCTTATGTTTATCATCTTAAAAGATTTGTATTTGGACAGCACAGATGCTTATTTGTACTGTGGCTAAACCCTGAAGTTTGTACAAGTGTAATCTGTACATGTGTTGATGATCTGATCGTTCTAAGCTGTCAGGAAGGTCAATTCTTTTGTCATCTTTAGTGGTTGCAGTTGTGGCTTTCTTGGAAATCATCAACTCCAGGTTTCTTTATTTCTGCATGGAAATGTAACTCTGGATATATATGTCCCTTGGTGAGAACAATGGTATTGCTGTTACTTTGGGTCACAGTACTGTTAATCTGATCTTTATCTGAGGCATAGCCTGGGAGTCAGGCAGAACTTCTGGGGACAGAATAGACAAGACTTAACCCACAAGGCACCCAGGGAAGAAGGGAAAGGCTTGTTCTGTAGCATTTTGGAAGGCATGCCAATTTTCCTCCTTTAATAAGGACATAACGCCTTGGGGCACTGTACTTTAATCTCTGACCAGGGTTTCATATTCTGTCACTTCTCATTTATCAAATCAAACCCAAATGTCCCTTGAGGGCATTCTTTGTAAGGGAAACCATAGTATTTTGCAATCAAGTGAGGTTTTATTACTGCATTTACTCTCCCTTTACCCAGGAAGAAATACAGAATAACCATTGAGCGGAGAAACCAACAGGAAGAAAGTAACATTGGAAAACATCGAGAGCTACGGGAAGATTCCATCAGATCCCATTTTTCAGTCGCCTAAACGATGCCTTCTTCTCCTTTCTTTTCCTGCTTGAGATTCCTCAAGGAGATAGATGGAATGAAAGATCTCCGGGGAACAGAAGGGGCATTCTTGATGAATCCTTCCTTTTAAGCAGTTACCATTGTATTCCAAAATTTCTTTAGAAGCTCAGGAACTATTATTAATCACCATCCACCTCCTGGTCTTTCATCTCATCACAAGCAAACATAGGCCAGAACATCACTCTCTGTTACATGTCCTAGTACTTGGAAAGTCATATGATTAGATTTATATTTTTTAAAAATATGATGTCTCCATATCTGGGTGCCTTGTGGAGACATTGCACACAAGGCTATGAACATGTGTTTTCTGAAATTGAATGTTTTGTAGCTAGAATAAAAGTCATTTTTACAAGTAGAATATTCTTGGAAAGAATTTAGCAGCCAATCGGAGGAAAAGGTAATGAAAAGATTCAAGGTTGGAAATTGAACACCATCCTCTGGACAGGTTTGTGGCTGATGAGTGCTCTGGTTGACAGCGACATTCAGATCTGACTTTGTGTCTCAAGAAAGGATCCTCATGTCTTTTTCAGAGTCTCACAAAAGCTACTCTGCAATGTAAATATTAGGAATGGCTGGAGGATTTATATAAGAAAAGTTTAAGGTATTTCTCTTTTTTAATGTAAAAAAAATCAAAGGGCCCTATTTCACTCTAACATTTTATTTTTAAGTATTTTAACCTTATATTTTGGTATTAAAATGTGTCTATTTTTTCATTTCAAAGATTAAATTTCACTTATATTTTAAAAGCATGGGTAACACGTACAACAAACCAGTGACAATGGCAGACACTTCTCTGTGTTTTCCTCTTCCCCTCAGCCTTAGCTAGCCACTCACTCTTTGCTGCTTTAGTTACAATCAAGAAATGTGTTGAGATCACAAACTCTGAAGTTGAGTTTAAGACATTTGTTTCCTTGTTTTAAATGCGATTTCTCTTAAGGCTAGGAGATCCCTTCCTAATTCTGGCCAAATGATAAATTTCAAGAGAGTGAAAATAACTGAAAAGGCGTAGGTTTATCAGAGGAAGCAGTCCCGTTTCCTCAAGAAGAACCCAGTGGTGAGAATGTAATAGTAAGGACAAAGGTTAAAGAATTAAAAGGTGATAGATGAAACTGAAAATCATGGTGATGATCTTGGTTAAAGGAACGAATCTAACTATCTACTATGGGGCTGGGATATAGCTCAGTGGCAAAGTAATTGCCTAGCAAGTACAATGTCCTGGGTTCAATCTCCAGTATCAAAAAAGAAACGACAAAAAGTGCAGTTAAATACCTACTCTGTCCACTTTCGTTTGACCCGACTGAGCTTTATGAGTCATCTACCAAACACCCATGTTAACTATGGGTTTCAGCAAGGTTGGGTAAGCATTTACTGGATGTTTACTTTACACCAAGTGCTGTGCACAGAGATTTAAACTCAGGTTGCCACATTTACTTGTCATCTGTGGGAAAAGCAGGCAGTGAGGGAAGGATAGGAAACCTGTCCAATGCATACGCCATTTTGTAATTATGCCACTAGTATCTTTCTTCAATAACATTTTGAGCACTTGAAGCAATTTTCAAAATCATCTTTGCACCTTTAAAAGGCAAGAATACAGAGGAAAACTAGGGAGTTTGTAGTACCCCTGGGAATGATGGAGATTGTAGTTCACACAGGTAATTGTGGAAGGAAATCACAGGAATGCAGCACAGCATATTCTAGAACAGCATATTCTATTCTAGACATTGTCCCATGCTTACTTGCATGGAGGAGACTGCAGTCATTACTCAAAGTGAATGGATTGTTTCTGTGTGAGGTGAGTTTCCTCTCTGTTGTTTAGAAAATGGGATGCTGGTCACAATAAAGGAAGTAACGATAAGCAACAGAACTAATGTCCTAACTCTATGCTAGATGCAAAGGAAAAGTACAGTACTGACTTCATAAAAGGGTGCATGAAGAAGGCAAGAATGGCGAACTCTAGAAATTTTAGTGTTGGAATAGAGCTCGGGAAATACAAGTGAGGAAAGCAAATACTTTCTGATTGGAGACTCTCCAAAATAAAAACAGACTGAGAAGGTTATATTAAACCTAATCACAGAGTTGATTTCTCTCTTATTTTTTTAAAATGCTGGTTTTTATATATTTTAGAGGTATTCTGTTTCCCCATCTTGTTTTTGTGAAATACATTTGTATTTCAAGTTTAAAAAATGTGTTATTTGTTTGAGAGGAGGGACAAAAAGTATTTTACTAACATTCTACCTGGTTCTGGTCTTTGGACCTAAACATTCTAACCTATATAGAATGTGTATAATGCCAACACTGTTAGAGCACATAGCTTTTGTTTCTATGTCATGTAGAAGAATGCTTCTAAAATTTAACAATTTTTAGATAAGATTGTAAGAATAAGTAAGAATTTAGTCTTTTAAAAGACAAGTCATGAAATTTCTGTAATATGGATGTAATACTCTTCCATTTTAAATAGAGTTCTTAAGATTGATGGCTATTTACATGTCTTCTGCTTGCCTTTCTAATAGAGTAGGATCTTCATATGAGTCACCAAAACTCTTAAGTTTTAAGAATTTATTGTTAGGAAACTTTTCCTAAAAGTGTGTTTGGCCCAATGTAGCCCTGAATTAAGACCTCTTAAGATTGTATTTGGGGGTTTAAATTCATAATATTCCAGAAGCTATATATTACGTAATAAAAAATAAGGAGCTACATATTTAATAAAAATAAGTAGGGCTTTAGTTCTTAAATAATTCTATGAATTTTTAATCCTGAAATCCAATGACACATATAGGTCAAAAAGAATATATGCCTTTTGAAGTTGGAAAGAAGTACAGCTTTTATAATCTTTTTTTTAAATCATTCTTATGTCTTGGGCTTTGGAAGGGGGAAGAAACTCAGAAATTAAGAAACTTCTGTGAAGAGTTCCTATCTCTTCCAGGACAACCACAGGCTTTACAAGGAAGCTCCCATAAACATTACACTTCTCTAAAGAACCACCAACTTGTGTTTTCCAACATAACCCCATAAGCTTATGGTAGTTCCCTATACTACAGAAGCCATATTTAATAGAGGGATTGGCAAACATATGGAATTAAACAAATGCCTTCTTTCCTCTCTCTTAAATTCAAAGACTTTTGCTTGACATGCCAAGTCAGATCTCCCTAGACTTCTCAGAACATTAAATTAATTAAGGCTCTTTGCCCTTCATTTACCACTTTTCTTTTGGTAGGGGATGATTTTTGGAGGACTTAAGATATACAATGGGTGATGAAAACCAAAGCCATTGTAAACCTCACAGACAGACAGCAATGTATTCAGAAGCAAGTTCTGTTGGTCCTACCAGCAAAAAAGATGTATGGAAGTCTCTTAGGAGACCAAATATAACATTACGCTTACCAGTATAAGGAAACTTAATAACTAGAAGGAATGAGTACCTTTGTTTCTTGGGACACAAGAAATTCAGATCCCAGATGGATGCAACTATAGAGGCAAATGCCAATCAAACTTTGACTGCAGCTATGTGCTGTGGGTTTTGTTTAGTTAAACCCTGTGGTTCTTGTTTAGTTAAACCCTGTGGTTCAGGGCTTCATAAGGTAAGGAGTTGGATTTCTTGTCTAAAAACAGAGAATATGTCTTAGGAGCATCATGGAAACAGAGAGAATGAGCTGATGATGTTCACAAGGGCCAGGTCTCTTTGTTAGTCTTTAAAACAGAAGACTCACCAATAATTGAGTCCTTTTGTCCAACAGCCAGCCCCAGTAAGAAGCTTTAGACATTCTGAGCAACCATGTCTAAAGCTTGATCCTCCAAAAGAGATGAAAGAAGGTTGCTTTACAGGCCACGACTGTCTTTACTGCCCTTTCATCCTCCAGCCTTACCCATCATCCATCAAAAAAATGTGTCAGCATCTTGCCAAAGCAAGTGGGCACTTGCGAGTAGCCCTACATCTTTTCTCAGAGGAGAAAAATGCAAGATAGTAGAACCAGTTGTAGGAAAGTAGGTGCATTTAAAACAGAGTCCTTACTTGTCCACACAAGCCCTAGGGATAGGTCAACCCTGTGATTTGCATCTACTGCAAAGATCACAGCTTTGGTGATCAGCATGCAGATTCCACAAGTATCTCCTGCAGGCCTAGTCCACAGTTAAGACTCCAGAATTAAAATAACTTTCAAAAGGTGCTGGGTTGGAGTTGGTTCAAATTTCTCTATTAACCACTACTTTTTATTCAGACCAAAGGCAAGGAATTCTAAAGCAACTGAGTTTCAATGGGAGCTGAGCCTCAGCAGTAAAACCCATACCGTATGAGCATCCTTTGATGTGTCAAATACGGGATGATTCCTAGTGGAGAGATCTGAACAAGTAGAATTAAGAGCGAAACTGTTGCACTGCTTCGATCTATGTTTGAAGACCTTTATTTCTATGCACAAGAAATAATGAACCCATTTACTAAGTGCAAGTCATAACAGAAGCTACCAAGTGACATTTTGTTATTTGCTGGGAGAACAAAGGTGTTCTAGCATAGAATTTGGGGGGGAGGGCAGATAAAGCCAGAAAGAGTACAATTTGGGCTTAGAAATGGAGTGTCTCCTTTATTAATTAGTGCCACAATATGAAAATGTTCTGTGTGGTAAATTTCAAAAGACAGCAATAAAATACCCACTGGGTAGCACAGAGATACCATGAATTTGTAGGCCTTTGGGGTGGATCCCAGAATCACAGTTTTGTTCCCTGTGCATAATTGAAACCAATAGACAATGTGCAGGATCATTTCTGCAGCCCGTGTCTTCTGCACCATGTTACTGATTGTTAATTTAAATATAGGACGATCAAACAATACAAACCTACCATGAGTCTGGTAGAAGAGTAAAAGATATGTACAAGCTACATACCGTTTATTAATCTAATGTAAGTAGAACTATCTGCATATAATGTGATTTAATTTATTGTTTTTGTGTAGAAAATGAAAATTAATGACTGTGGATATAACCCCTGTTTTGTATAATATATTTTTATTTCTGGTGCAAACTGGTCATTTAAAGTATCTACTCCATTTGGTGTTTGGATATAAATGTGTATGAGTTCTTGTAAATGTTGCTATTAATCAAGAATGCCATATATTCTGAGTATAACAATGTGTTGTCATTAAAATACATCCCACAGAAGACTTTTCTTATTGATATTTCAACTTATAGATGTGGTCTGCATCTGTGTACTCGGAGGACTTTCTGTTCTTGTCGAATTGGAGAAAGATCAATTACTGGATATGGTGGATTAAATTGTTGGTGACTCAAACCTGTAATCTTAGCTACTCAGGAGGCTGAGAACTGAGGATAGCAGTTGGAAGCTAGCCAGGGCAGGACAGTCCATGAG